AGGAACTGTTCGAATGGCACTTAGCTTACTAACAAGCGATTCCAACATGGGCTGGTCGACAGAGGTAAATCTGACTGGTGCTGGGTAGGCCTGTATCCTCTTGGGCACTCTAATGGCATTAAACATATGAGATTTCACATTAGCCGATTTACCTAAAGTTGTAACGACGCCAATGAGATCAGTAGAGTCAGGAATATTGAAAGCAAGGAGACTGTAAACTAATGGTTTCTTTGGCCTTGTGGGGCAGCGGCAATTTTATTGGGCGATGGGGTTTGAACTGGTTTAACCACGAGAACTGCAGGTGTGGCTGTTAGTTTGTGGGAAATAGGGGGATCCTGAGTATCAGCCGAGTCAAGATTTTTGGTGGTAGGATCAGAAGAACCCACGTTCAGTGAAGATGGATTGCTAGATACCAGATTTGTGTCTCCAGCTAGTGGCTCGTTTGTTTGCTGCGTATCAATTGCTCTAGGTCTTTCGTCGTCAAGGAAAGCAGTCAGGTCTCCGGTCACAATGCTGGTCAAGTCTAAATCGACAAGGGAGTTAGTAATCTGTGGCTGCTGTACATAACTGTCCCCTGGATGCGATGTCGCAGGTTGATAGCGACGGTGGTGCTTTGTTGTAAAAAGCATAGGCTCTAAATTATCCGCTGCACGTAGCGTTATTAGTGGAGAGTCGAGGGGGCATATTATACTTATGGACTGGTTATGGGTGTCATCGTGTGTAGGTAACCTTAATGTTGGGGTGTCTGTTTGGCAGTTGGGAACGAGACTAGCAAGGGTTGTAGACGTGACCCCATTTGAGGGTAACGAGTCGCGTCGAGTGATAAGGTCAGAATCTCCATGCAGGAGTAATCTTTGTAAAGGTGTTCTGTCAGCGATTACTCTCAGGGTCTTAAAGGTAGTGTTGGCAGCAATTAGATCACGTCTGCTTATAAACTCACTAGCGGTTAAAGCGCTATTAAATTTGAATAGGATTGGACACGAGTAGCGCTGGACTTTCTTTCTGAGTCTTATGCAACTGCATTCCGTGCCAACCATGTTAGCAGCTTTAAGTGATATATCTCGCAAGGCTGCAGGCGGAATATTATCCGGGATATTAAAAACAACAGCATTTCTAGAACGATGCATCCTAGAGACTACTTCTGCTGCGATGGAATCGATAAGAGAACCTGCGGGTAACATATGCTCTACTTTGGGACTCAACGTGTTTTGCATTAGGGCAGTTATAGGTTCCAGTTCACGGAGGACAGTCAGAGAACTATCTATCGACAACATTTTCACTTTAAGCTGGGTGACTTCATCTTGGATGTTATGCAAGTTAATAGGCTGAAACGGCAGAGCAGCTGGGTATAATTTTCCTTCTGCTGAATTATAAGGTCTCGCAGTTTCAGAAGTTGTCGGTGCTTTGTGCGTTTTAACAGCCACTTTATGCTTTGGTAATCTACACTTGATGGCAGGTATACTAACAGAACATGAGGCTTTAGTTTCATCATTGCTTACAGATTGGTTATAAGCTGGGAGATTTGCGAGCTTTTTAATGCATTCCTCTCCATTCATTGTACTGATGGTGGAGCTTCTCGTTTTAACGTTGCTAACGAGCATCTTGTGATTAGCCGCTGGAGTTCATGGCTTGTGATCTCAGTTAAGGTAAACCGGTTATTAAACTGGACTAAAATGGTTACTGTGTCACAAGGTCGATACAAACCAACCAGGTCGGTAATCACAAAGTGCACCAAGGCGTTCTTTGTTAGTCAGTCGTCCTGTGCACACGTCCACTCTGAGTTTAACTTTGTGCCGTGTCCCGACGCGTCAATCCATCGGTTTTGGTGGGCGCACACGTACAGTTCAATCCGACAAAGGGTGCGGCGATTGACCGGTAGGATAGGTCCGCACGGAAGTTTGACTTGGGTGATAGTCCACGGGTTCGCTATGTCGTTTGGCGAAAGCAGGGAGAAGATGCAAGTGTTGGTAGCCGCTTTACAAAGCTGCCGATTTGGCTGGAATCGGTTTTGATGGATGGGCCTCGTGATATGCTTTCCAGTGATTATTCGAACCGCGATCGAAGTAACAAAAGCGTTGATTTTGTCCACTTCTGTTTACACCTGATTGCAGCAGAAATTGGGAGTCAGCAGTAGGCGATTATCCGTTAGGAATACAGTCCAGGATATTTGCGCACTGTGTACGCCCGATCAAGCCTGATCGAATGAGTGTACTCGGGTGAATATGCGATAAGAACTGGATTCAAGAACGACGAAAAGGTAGGAGCAGCGAATTCCGGCAGGCAGGCAGGCCGGCAGGCCGGCAACTTCTATTACCAAGCTGTTAACAACATGTGTATGCGCTCCACATCTTGAGACACTAACATCACGCGGAGACTTAATTCTCATTGTTTACATTGAACTGCCGCTGCAACATGCCCACGCATTGTAGCCAGTCTACAACTACTGGAACACGGACTTCCACAGTTGACTCTAGGCGCGATCTAACTGGACTGGTCTGTATCGCAAAGTGCATTGTTGAAGGTTGCTAGTCGGTTCTAAAAGATAGTATGGAGTAAGTGTGTAACCCGTCTGTGTCTCTCAAGGTTTAGAATATCGTGCTTATCAAATCACAATGGTTTGACAAAGAACATGTTGAGATGGAGGCTGCGCAGGCTGTGGTTTAAAATCCTACTTTTCGGCTCGGTCGACGAGTACGTGATGTCTAAAAAGCAGCAACGTAGTTACCACAGAATAAAGTGAACAAACGCCGGCACTTCAAGAAGTAGCTCGCAACCGCCGCTAAAACTGTCGCAAAGAGGACATTTGCTTACTTGAAACGGCGTCTGCATCCTTCAGATGACCTACGATACATAGATTGCTAGGACCGACAGCTCTGACCTCTAGCACATAGTTTGCATCCGAGTTGGCGGCGGTCGACTGATACTTTGACGCCCGCACAGCAGGATTTTATACCAGTTCATGCATGCATTATTAACTTGCTGGTGAGGAAGCCTCAAACTTTACAGGCAGTGCACCAGAGGAAGTCCGCCGACGTGATCTACCAACATTTCAGTAGTGTTCGGCAAGTTGAACAATGAGGTCCTCCTGCACAGGATGAGTTTGTGCAGCATTTGAGACTGACTGCACCAATGGATCTGCGAATTTCTCGTTGGAAGAAAGGAGGGGGAACAAGTCGACGGTCATCTAACCGAATAGCACCCCAAGGCACGGCGTTGGTGAATACATAATCCCCTGACCAACTCTGCTCTTAATGCACCTCAGCCATCTAACAGTGCTTCTTCGGTTCTCATGTACACTGACTGCAGACGACTGAAGATGTGGAGAGGGATTGGCACTTACTGCGACCTACTTCAGCAATATCTCAACTGCCTATCCATGTGCTCTGCAAAATTCTGTCTCCCGGTCAACCTATTCAACTCGGCATTCATGAACCCCGGGATGGGTGATGACAGCCAGCTGCGAAGTTTCCCACATTTGGTGATAAAATTAGGCGAACTAGCACGCTGTGTTTTGAAGTCCGCAGACAACACAAAAGGTCTCCACCGAAACAAGCTGCACAAACTCTGAGTACTCAAACTCAACTTTTACCTCTGGTCCGATGACGTTGCCCCTTGCCTCCCATCCTCCATCACGAAGTTGGGGTGCCTATGGCTGGACCAACGGAAATGAGGCGCAGAAGATCGAACTAGTCCAACATACCACAACGAGGTTCATCCCCAGTTTATAGGGTTTACCGTACGGAGACAGTTGCGAAAGACTCGCTCCGTACACCCTGTCCGGTCCTCGGGTGTGCATCAAACTCATCATGACATACCGTAGTCCAAATTTGGGTGACTTCCCCAACACCTTTCTCTACTTGCGAACACCCTGTAACATGCGTGGACATCGGTACAATATTGTGGATACAGAGTTGAATTAAGTTTACCATCCCCTGTTCTTTAGACGGTGGGTGGTCAGTGTTTGGAGCAGTCTACCGGAACACAATGGGGAAAGAAACCGTGCAGCAGTTCAAAGCGTTTTAGGTGCACGTTTCTCCTGTATTACATTCGCAGAAAAACTAATCCATGGCAACATTATTACAATTTGCTTAGCGTGAGTTATACTTTTTTTACCGTATCACTTGAAAACTTGAAGAACTGCCACAGTGTGTACAGGCCTTACAAGTTTTTTGTTCGTTTAACGTTTTTGGTCATATTTCGTTAGAGGTATAAAGAATTCCATTTATACTTGCTTCCAAAACACACGTATGCAGATTGTTAGCTGTCTATCGATCTGATACATTGTGCTGCCAATGCGAAATTCCATGCTTAAATGCTGAACTGGCTTTCTTTTTTCGTTGATTAGGGAAGTAAGCAGCGATCTCTTGCTTGTAAATATTATAAAAGGCTTAGCGATTGCGAGGTGAATCAAGAGAACGGAAAACATTAGTTTCACGGGGCCTTCTAGGCGGATGCCACTATGTGGTTTCCACTCTCGATAGCACGCACCTTTAGTATGTAACTAAATATTTGACGCACAAAGCAGTGTGGTAGGCAGATGGTTGCTTGAATGATCCTGCCCGGAGATTTGGGGTCAATCATCTTACTCACAAGGTGGTAGGGATAAAGTCTGGCTCAGGAGTATGATTACTGTAGCCTAGTGCAATGTGCCTGAGGGGATTCCATACTAGTTGTGCAATATCTGACATACGAAAATTATAATCTTTCATAGAGTAAGCACGTATCCCTGTCAATTCGGTTTCTCTAATGTCTGTTACCTACCCTGTGCTGATTATCACGGTACGGCAGGATCAGGCCTGCACACCGAATTGAATATCATACACTTTTGTTACATATATTTGATTCCGGTGTGTCTACTGCTCGTGCGTTTCTTGGTTACTGTAACTAAGGTGGACAGCAAGGATCTTCATGACTTCCACTTGATATCGTTGGTGCGCCAGTTCTTTTCTTTGGTTTTATACTTGCTACTAACATAGGCGCTCTCGTCCATCCACTTTCAGAGCATTTTGCAGTTCATTTCGCTGGTATCAAAGAAGAATCGCACTATCAGGCAGATGGTCTTGATGTTTTACGCTCTGTATATGAGACACAACACGATAACATTGCAGTGATCGAAGCCGTGGTACATGTCCTATCCGCCGTGATCAAATATGGTATGTTTCGCACTCCATGCAACGTTGATCAATCGGTATACGGCGCACAAGTTTTATACTAGTGCGTGCTTTTATTTCTTCTCCACGCCGTTGCTTCGCCCTAAAGTGCAATTCGCAGTCCAACGGCATTTCAGTAAAACAGGTAAATGTGGCCTTGGAAATCCCTATTCTCTCTGGGACTCTTATGGCTTAGAATATACTATGCTTATAAACAGTCTGGTGGCTAATGTGTTCAGCGCATTTGTGACCCAGTGTAATCTCGTGAAGGGAGGAACAACGAATCAGAAGGCATAATGAAAGACAGGTAAATCAATTCGTTGAATTTAAAAAGTTTCGTTTTTGACAAAAAAGATTTTTCTGGCAAAGTTGGTCAGTTCCAAACATATTCCAAGATAAGAAACTTTGCTAAGGCTTGAGTAACAAACACATAAAATTGCTCCTATTCATTAACAGAGGAATATCGGCTGTCCAATCTGCTGATGGGTCTGCAAACACCGAATTATTGACCGATCGGAGAGCCTGTTTTCCTCTTTCTTTAATCGGAAGGTTGCAAGCTATTCTACTCAAATGTCAATGCTCAGGTGTCCATAGGTATCAGTTGTGTGTATTTTATCCTGTGTGTATTTTATCCTGGATTCACACACTGGTTTCGATCCCTAGGTGTATAAATCAGTAGAAATAATCGTTTCCCAGCTATCTCCATATTCCTGCGTAGTAGAATTTCTTTTCTGTCTAGAATTCAACTGGTATGTTCCGCTGAGTTGGGATCATGATATATTATTTATAACTAAAACCGAGCCATGACAGCACATATGGTAATCAGCTATCCAGCTTCGGATACGATACACTTATGAGAAATCGACAATGTCGCCTAGATGTATGGGCTTTAGAAATTCCCACTTTTCTCGTTTCTGGTTTACCTCATCTCCTACTTCTCAGCCAAGATCAGAAGTCAACGAACTAGAAGCAAAATGTGTTGCGGGGTCAGCTGCTGTTTAAATAAACGATATTCATTTATCATCACGGAAATATTCAAGTTTTAGAAGAGCTATGTCAGCGGTCTACTGTTTTGGAGTTAGATGCTTACGCTACGTGATGGATCTTGAGATTCTTGAAAATATTTCTTGCCTCAGGGACACATCATTAGCTCACTTTGTTGTCCTGTTAGAATAACGAGGTTTTTGAGAGATTTTAGTTCCTACTGGAGTAATAACCGGAAAATATCGCTTACAACAGTAACATTCGAACAAGCATTTTTGACTGACTGTTAGAAATCAATTTATCATACGCTTTCTGTTAGTCAGAGGCAGCTATTCGTGGAATGTATATACGGCGCGCCAAACTGCATACGTGCATACTTCATACGTGCCTTTGAATACACTACAATCCTACCTTCTGACGGCTCCTAGCCTTAAGTATCACAAGGCTACATGGTACTCGAAAGGTGTGGATTCGAGCCTGCGTGGGGACCAGACAACCCTCAAAGTATTCTTAGCCTAGATGAGACCGATCTTGCTTGCACTGCAGCTAAGCGTCGATACGGCGTACCAGCGAACTGCTGATGCCGTTTATGTACTGATTTCTACGCATGCGCTTATCCGATGTGCTTTCACATTTCCATGGATAAAGTAGCCAATCTCAACGGTTTTCCGGAAATGTTTACCAACAATACAGAGCTGATGATACTCCGGACATATATGCTAAAGAGAAAACATTGGGTAGTCTAATGCAGTGTGTGATTGCACGAGGACGACGTATGGCATACAGAACGTCCTAGATGAAGCAGCAGGTTTTTCTCCTTGAAGTCAGTCACTGCCAACATAAACACGAAGACCGTCAACAAAATATTGAGTTTGGTGTGTCTCACTCTCAACTCCGCACTTTACGACCAACGTTTGGTTTCTTGTTTTGGACTCCTCAAGTAGAGATAGCCGAGTTGAGAGTTGAACAGGGCAAATGTGAGGAAGAGAGCAAATCCGAAACACTACTCCACGTTTACCATCCCAGTGATCCTACTGTCTAAAGCTTATTTCAACTTCAAGCGAGACCACAGTTGAGCTCGGGTGTCGGGATCCAAGACACACGGCTGGTGACACCAAACCCGAAAATCAAGCTTCAAGCACTGCACGCGGAGCTCGATTGCCTGCTTAAAATGGCGATGGCCGCGGGAAAATTGAGCTAGATTTTAATATCGGCTATCTCCATCTGAGGGGTCCAAACCAGGACGGAAATGTCGGTGGTGGACTGCAAGAATGAGAGAGAGAGAGCCAAACCTCCACTTCGGTGACGGTTCCGGTGATGGTATTTGTATAGGCTGACCTCAAACTCAACCGAGGCCGCAATTGAGATTGCCTGTTGCAATCCAAGACAGAAGACGCGTGTTCCAAAGTCTGAATATCAATTCCTAACTGCTTTGTCAACAACTGCTGACAGAGCTCAATGACTCTGTTATCATGGCCTTAGCCGCCAAGTACTATGCTTCGAGTTCCACTACCTGCTCGGCTATCTCTACCTGATGAGTTCATTCTACAACGAAGCCGTCAGTCGTGGCGTGCCTGTTAGGTAGGGAGCTATGCCAAACCGTTTATGCGTGTGTCGTTCCCTTAAAGAGAATATTTTATATTTCCTTATCCTTTCCTTAACTATATATATCTAGGTTCCACGTTGATTCGTTAGTGGCCCTAATGTTTGGCCAGATGATACATACTTAAAATCGCAGTTTGTCTTATACTATACTAACGCTTCCTATAATTCAGCGAATTGGTATATTTTCAACTAGGTGAGACATGGCCCAGCTAAGCTGGTCCGATCATAAGGTACAAAGAAATTTCAGACTGATTTTACAAACTGTTGTGCAAAAGCACTTGTGGTTCCAATTTCACTGATGTTTGCGCTATTGCTTTCGTTTCAAAATGCGCCGGAATCCACGACAATTGCAAAGCGTTCAGATACGTGTACGAGAATGGTTGGGGGAGAAATCAAAATAACAGTGTTTTAGTTGATGAGTGAAAATACGCATATGGAGAATATCATCTAAAAATTCATAAAACTGGTAAATAGCAATAATTTACAAATAATGCAAGTGTGCGAGCAGGCATGATCACACTACGAATAGTTAAACTGAGAACTGCATCTATCATGAAACATAAATCAATGAGTTGTTGAGGTACCTCACACAATATGTAAGATGCGATAACACAGGACAATTGCGTACATACATTGGGTGAGTTAGTTGCGCCCAACAACAATTCACCGTTTCAGTGGGTCCATGTCTTGCAGACACTAATGTTTCGCAACTAGCTGTGTAACTGTAAGAAAGCGCTATATGAAGGCTAAGAAAAAAGCTTGATTATCTAACCAACCAATGTACGCATGTTTTTCAAATGCCATCTGTGGGTCTTCAAACTAAGTAAGAGCACATTAAGAAACAGGGTGGATAAAGGACCAATCGAAGATACAATCCCATCTATCCAACTCATCGATGTGCACATGTTTTCATAGATCACCAACCGGCTATCAATTTATAGCAGAATACATTTGAAGAAAATCAGAAATAGATCATATTTATCCAACCTAGTGATGCACAAATGTATTCATAGGCAACCGGTGAGTCATCAGTTTGAGTAATATCGAAGTATGTGACAAAGTAGAAGGAAGAAATGTGATAAAATGATGTTATCTAGCAACGCAAGCTCATGATAAGAGAAGAGATTATTTCACGTTGTATCGACAAGCCCTTCTCATCTTTGGCTGTACTTTGTATTGCGAATTTCTCAAGTAGTTAGATGCTATTAGGCCCGTTCTCGTACATCCATTCATCTGTGCAACTGCCACGAAACAGTTCTGTTATTTTATTAACAGTTAAGTACTCTTTTAGTTGCATCTTAATTGTTCGAAGTAAAGATGAACTTCCGATGGCCTGATGCAATCTATTTCACAGCTGGGATATTTGTGCGTAAAGGTGTTGTACCGTAGACGTGTGCGACAACGAGGGAGTTTTATCACATAGTCTTTGTTTCATAGCGCATACGGTGAATATCCTTGGAATACCGGCTGATAGTAGCTAGTATACGTCAATCGATGGACAATTTTGAACAACAGACGTCAACTCATCCTTTATCTCCGAAACCATAGCCGCTCGATTTTTAGCAACTGACATATATCATTATAAGTGAGCTTAGAGGCACAGCCCACGATTATTTTGGCAAACGACCTTTTGTAGCTTCGATTGCACTCGTGTCGCATCGTCTACTGCCACTAAAAGTGGTGGCACAGTATTTCATTAATGATCTTGCGTACAGTTTGAATGGCAAGAGCATAACATTGCTTGTTATAAACAAGCGGTCTATCATTCCAATAGACTGTCGTGTTTTAGCTAACACATACCCAGATAGTTATTTGAAATTAAAGAAACCTGAGTAACAGAGACCTGTGTCAGATAGCGATTCGCATAAAGGGAGTGGGATACTATGCTAAAGCAAACATTCAGGTAGAAACATGCATTTATAGCACGTAATGCTACATTTAGATGTTGCAAATTTCATGGTAGATCCTACACTCCTACTCACCTTGCCCTCTCTTCCGATTCTTCGCATACGTTCACTTTTGCTCCACATTTGTGAATAGCTTGTATGGACACTGGAGATTACGCTTATTCGCTTTTACATTGTGTATTTCGTTCGTTTGTGAGGCAACTTATTTATCCTCCGATTTTTGAACTGAGCGGCATTGACTGACCTAATGCCAGTCTTTCCGCATAGCATGTGATATGCCCTAAATTGAATATTGCGATTGAGTTGCACAGACAGATGCTTGGTGGCCGGTTTGGCTTGCTGCGTGAACATTGTTTGTTGCTCGATCGTTGGTGTTCTCACTACCATTAGTGGGTGGAAGCAGTCGTGGAGCTCCGCCACAACAATCTTCAACGCATATTCAATCACAATTACATTAAAATTATTCACTCGTTTCTCTAAAACGTAAACGTTCAACAAACCCTATCA